AGAAGTGCAGTCGATAGAGTATACGTCTTCTCTCAAAAAATAATAATATTCGATAACTCCAAAAATTAATATAAAATACTAAAACACTCATTATATGCATCGTGATATATAATGTAAAGTTCTTTCGTGGTAGAATATCCGCCAAAAGGCTTCGGTTTCAAAGGCGGAATCAATCGATATGATCCTTTAATCGAGTGAAAAATAATTAAATAAACACATGAAGAAACAGTAAACCCATCTTAATTGCTTTTGGTTTTTCTTTTAGATACTCTGGCAACGTGCATACTCCAGACACGTGCTCGTGCTATCGTGTGTGCAATACGTACTATATTTATTGTATGAGTACGGAGCGTGTAGAGTAGAGAGAAAGAAGACATATGTGATACAGAAAGCAGGTCTATGATATGATTACCAAATTATTTTACCGTTTGAGAAATTGCTTTTATCTTTCAACAGAGCTTTCTCTACTAGCTCTATATAGTACGCAAACAACTATATATATAGTTGAGTATATTACTTATATTTTTAATTTTAGCCTCTCATCTTACTCTCGTTTAATCTATTCTCCCTGATATATATCCCTTATCTTAATTTCTACACCATCTAGTTATTATATATACATATATTATATAATAATTACACTCAGTATACTTCACTATATTTATATATACATATAATTTATTCACCTTATACTATAAACTTATAGATACCATTGTATATGTGTTCGTGTAGTAAGAGAAGAATAGAGATATAATAGATCACAGGATACCCAGTATTACATATATATTTGACTAATATATAGATGCATATTACTAAGTAGGATATATACGCGCTCACCTCTGTACTAGTAGATGATATATCTTGGAAGAAGTCAGTTTCATAGATATTCATAGAAATGACGGTGAATTGAAGATCCTATTTTTTCTCTTTCTTCTACCTTATATATTCTCTATATAATCTCTACCTTATATATCATATATTATCATATATTCCATATACTATTCATAATTTGACATTTAGTAGTTCCCATAACAATACTATAATGTTCACATCTACTATCTATTCGTATTATCGTCTTGCGGTAT